AGAGTAGACTTCAATGCCGGCTGTTCTGACTCACAGTCTGTAAGTACGTTTTCATATTTAAAGGATTTGCCACTGATGATTCAAATGCGAGTTTTGGGCAGTGTAGAGTAGCGCTTGTTGTTTGTCGTTTCTCCGATCACAAATGCAGACATGGTTTTATGTTTACGCAGCGCGATACGCAACCCAATGCGTAAAAACACATTATAAGTCATTATAATTAGTAATTATGTCCCCACTGGATGCAACAAATGCCTCGTTTGTAATGGGTTTTTATTGTTTTTGTCTTGTTGCGCCGGGACACAGGGCATCACAGTATGGTAAGGGGCTTAACATTTCCGTCACACGCTTGAGGTATTCAGCCAATCACAACGCACTGGATAGCTGGCCAATCACAGCACACCTCGCTTTTCAGACCGATGAGCTTTGTAAAAATCGACGCATTTCAGAAAGGCAGGGCATAGAGGAGAAACAATAATGTACAGTATGTGGAAAATAATGTGTTTTTTTAACCTTAAACCGCATGAACACATTGCATTACACCAAATACACAACATAATGTTCTTTTTAGTAATGTCATATGACCCCTTTAATAAATTATTACTACATAAAAAATAAACTTTAAGTGGCTTTACATGGCTTTGCGTATTTCTTTGTGTGTGAGCATATATATATAGAATTTTTAGTCATAAATACCAATTATTTGAACATGTAATCAGTCATTTCTTTAAAATAAACACTTTCTTGAAGGGAAAACAAAGGAATTAGTTGACATTTTTAAACATGCTTTTTAAAAGACACATGAGATTTTGGTAACAGGACTGAGAAAAATGCATCTACAAAAAAAAAAAAAAAACGTATTTGTGACCTGGGATAGATTAAAAATAAATAAATAAATAAAAAACTACACAAACTACAGACCGAACTTCCATGAACATAATCAAGAATAACTTTATTTAACAGTTATTTTACAAACATAAATATTTTCGCTCTACATTCAATTTCTGCATTTTAGAGGACATCGTTTTTTTTTCCCTTTATTTGTCCAGTAAACATGGATTTGCATTGATTTGCACATCTCGGCATCAACTAAAACTTCGCAGATGTGTCATCACATCTAGATATGTTTTGCAGTACAAATATTTGGATATTTTATTAGCGTGTATGTTTACGATACTCGGGGGACCCCAGCAACAGTACATTTTGATATACATGTAGCGAACGTGGTGCATTTACACTCACTAACTACCAGCTGAACAGTAAGGCAATAGATTACAGGCAGTCTCAAAGGGCGGCATTCCTTTATTGTGCTGAACGCCACAAACACATACAAATCTAAAGCCTTAGTCTCAGGACAACCACACAAATGGGTCGAACTCACAAGTCCAGAGGAGTCCAAAGATTTCTCCTGTGAGAAACAGTGAAAAAAGGTGCAAAATGCAAAACAAACAAAACACAAACTGCATCCATTATGAGGCACGCAATACAGCTTTTAAAGCCCTGTAAAGACTCTACGGTGCAATTTGTGCATTTTCAGACAAGACACACATACATGCATTACAAAGACTGAATTGATTCAAAGGGAATCGGGCCACAGCTGAGCTCCATTCAACCACCATTGGGACACAGAAGGGTATTTGCTGTTTTTCACTGATCATTTTTCTTCCGATAAAGAGGCTTGAGAAAGGCAAACTGATCCTAGGCCTGCACAAACTCTCAATACAACTTATAAACATGCAGATATCTGTTCCAGATCTCAATGGAGAAGAGTCTCAGGAGTCTCATCTGCACAGGAGTATCTAAGACCTTTGATTTCTCCCTGAGAATCAAATCATTAGAAAAATATTTCAGTCTGACATTAACGCCATCTCCCTACGCTTCCCCCAAGTAGTCTAAAAGCAGCGTTATTTTATTTATAAATAAGGCAACTATATTAACACTATGGTCTTGTAGAATTACAAAGGGCAACAACCCATTGAACTGGTGGGTTTTAGGACTTCACATGCAATAGCTGTAAGTGCAACTTGTTTTTTCCTTGTCAGTCAAAATGCACATCAGGGTGCCAATCCTGAAATATGTCATATGCAAATAAACAAGATACTTGCCTACTGCTGCAGAGTAGAGTAAACTAAATTTTTTTTCAAAAGAGATCCTAACCTATACTGTACCTTTTTAGTCTTTCCTTTTCAAAACCTGAACCTTTTTGTCCCCAACCTGATACAAACAAACATAAATGCTGAAAAATATTAATATTTACTTAAATCACAACCACTACAATCACTGAATACTATCATTCCACTGTAAATCCTCCTAAAAATTCAAGTCTGCTTTAATTTTATTAAAATAAAGTGCTTAAATATGTTCCTCGACTAGAGAGAGTTTAAATCAGAGTCATGTTTGAAATCCTTGCAAACTAATACTGGTGAGAAACTGTATTTACACTGCAGTCATGCAGATCATTTATGAGTGAATGAACAAGTATTGTTTGAATGTAAAAACAAATCAATTTGTAGCATTGCTTTCTCCAACTTAAAGGGTTAGTTCAACCAAAAATGAAAATTAGCCTGTGTTTTACTCACCCTCGAAGCATCCTAGGTGTATCTTTCAAATGCGGAAGGCGTTTCGGTGAAAGGCATATGACGTATGTGCAGCGCGCGCACCTCTGAGATATGCTAATCTCGCGAGTTTGTTTATAGGAGCAAAGGAAAGTTTCCTTACTTTAGCAAAGGAAAACCAGTCTCCTCTTGGCTTATATCGAAATCCTCCGACATTTTTCTTTACAAATCCTCGTTTTGTGCTTCTAATTCGTGACCGGCGTTTTGTTTTGTTTTGCAAAACAAACGACTGCAATGATAGAGCTTGGAATAGCCAGGACAATTTTTAATATAACTCCGACTGGATTCGTCTGAAAGAAGAAAGTCATATACACCTAGTATGCTTCGAGGGTGAGTAAAACACAAGCCAATTTTCATTTTTGGGTGAACTAACCCTTTAAGAGCGGACAGTGTCTATATAGACACAGAACTCTACCCACTACATTTAAGCTGGTGCTGAATTCTCAAACCCAGGTCATTTTACACTTGATCCACATGTGGATTTCTTCTCAAACTGACCCAAAGTGTTAAAACACTTTTTTTTTTTACATAACGCTGGATTAGCTGTCAGTCACCATGGGGAGTGTGTGCACATATATAGTGTTCTCAATTTTTAATAGCAACCTTCAATCAAAAATAAATAAATAAACAACATTAAAAAAAATAAATAATTTAACAATGAAAAGTCCTCAACAATATTACTGGGACCATTTGATGAGCAAGACATATATTTCAAACATTTCCCTTATTACACTATCCTGTTCAAGATGTGAAAACTGGCATGTCAATTAATGTAATAGTACAAGGGAGTGAAGTAAATTATGTGATCGAAATGCAAGTATATGGGTGATCTTATAACAAGTTTTGGCTGATGATGAGAGTCTGGCCCTGTCAGCTCTTTATTACTGAACACTGCCATCCAGTGGAACGAGGATTCAGTGATCTGAAGGGACTACACCAGGATTATTAGCATGGTATCTACCAAAAGCCTTTAGCGCATTGAATTCCAGTTGTGCACTTTAAATGATAATTAATGGATGCTGTGTCCTTTCCATAAAGCAGTTTATTAAAATATCTTTCATATTCTTGGTCCCTACTATATTATATCAAACACAACCCCGTGACCTCAGGAGTGGAATAAGGGAGTGTCTGGATCCAATACAGATGCCATTTTGAGATGCTCACATTTTACTTACAGCTAGGATTGTATTTTATGCCGAGGTATCGATCTGAAAGTTTTTCTATGCATGTCCCTGGTCTCTTCCATTCACTAAATAAAGCCAAACCTCTATGACACAAAGATTTCCTCTTCCCCACATGCAAGCTCTTTCTTGGCCAACAGTTGCTACAGTTCTCTTCGAGTGCAAACTGGCCCTCTTGGATGATCTCATTCAGTAGTTCAAGAGAAAAGTTGAGAGGAAAAACAAAAGTCATTTAGGATTTTAACAGTCTTCAGGTTCCCCTCACCGGGACTGAACGCCAAGGGTGATCTTTAGGTTCTCATACACCACATAGCTGATGCTAACAGCAGGAATGACCTTCATAAAGTTGGGTGCCAAGCCTCTATAGAGTCCAATAGCGCCCTCTGTCCTCATAATGTGTCTGAAGAGACCAGACATGGTCATCTGAGGGCTGCCTTCCTGAGAAGCTGCTAACCGATGGAGAGCAAGAACAAAATGCAAAAAATCAATTGGACTGTGATAGATAAACAATAATAGTTTTCTTAGTGAAGCCTTCTAATTATGTATTTCAGACTTTAAAGACTTACCTTGAGCCTGCATTCGTGTCCTCACTAAGGCTAATGGGTAGCTTGCTAACTGTCCACAAGTACTAGACATTGTACCACAGGCTAGCAGCACAAACACACCCGGATCAGCACTGTCTGTAGCAAACCTCTGAAGCCACCAGTTTTTTAATGTCTACACATGAAAATAAGAGAGACATGGGAGTTACATTATAGTAACTATAATATAATATAAACTAATAAAGCAATAAGCCCCAAGAAGCCGTGGTTTACAGTGAATTTATAACAGGGCGTTATTAGCCCCCTTATTAAAACCCCCTTAGCAGTTATAAATTCACTGTAAACCATGGCTTCACGGAGCTTATTGCTTTTATAAAACGGTTATTCCATATACGTAGTTAGGTTTCACAAAATAAAACAGAGCAAATAAAGTGTAATGATATTAATAAAAACAGTATTCTTCCACCAAACAATGTAGTTCCTCAGAAACAGTTGTGGTTGCAACAAAGTGGTTGCCAAACAACACATCTTTAGGTTCTCATACACCACATAGCTGATGCTAACAGCAGGAATGACCTTCATAAAGTTGGGTGCCAAGCCTCTATAGAGTCCAATAGCGCCCTCTGTCCTCATAATGTGTCTGAAGAGACCAGACATGGTCATCTGAGGGCTGCCTTCCTGAGAAGCTGCTAACCGATGGAGAGCAAGAACAAAATGCAAAAAATCAATTGGACTGTGATAGATAAACAATAATAGTTTTCTTAGTGAAGCCTTCTAATTATGTATTTCAGACTTTAAAGACTTACCTTGAGCCTGCATTCGTGTCCTCACTAAGGCTAATGGGTAGCTTGCTAACTGTCCACAAGTACTAGACATTGTACCACAGGCTAGCAGCACAAACACACCCGGATCAGCACTGTCTGTAGCAAACCTCTGAAGCCACCAGTTTTTTAATGTCTACACATGAAAATAAGAGAGACATGGGAGTTACATTATAGTAACTATAATATAATATAAACTAATAAAGCAATAAGCCCCAAGAAGCCGTGGTTTACAGTGAATTTATAACAGGGCGTTATTAGCCACAACACACAAAGTAAACAAAGCTGTATGTTTGTAGAGTAATTTACAACAGCTTCGAACGGGGCTCAGCCAATCAGAATCAAGGACCGGAACAATCCGTAATATAATAAATATAATATAATATAATATATGAATTAATCATAAAATACATAAAACATTCAGGAGGTAGAAAACTTAAACAAAAATTAAATAAATAAAAAAGCATGTAGCACAGTGTTATTTTAGTATTATTTATAGACCATTATAGTATTTACTAATATTTTGAATGAGCTTTTTTAGATTTTCAGTTTTAATTTGAGTAATTTTGTTGTGCTTTTGTCAATTATTATTAGTTTTTGTTTTTATTTCTATTCTGCTTTAATTTATTTTTATTTCAGTTTTTGTTTAAGTAATTATAGTAATAACTAAATTAATTTTTAGCTTAACTTAAAATTATTTTATTTCGGTTGGTTGCCACTGATGTAGCCTGACAAATATATTGTCCTATTGTTTTACTGTGTAAAAACTTACCTCATAAACAGCCAGGTCTATTCCAGCATAAGGGATGATTCCCAACACGTTGGGAATATAACCTTTATAGAAGGCTGTCAGTCCCTCCTTCTTAAATATATGTTTAGCACAGTCCATGATACCAGAGTACTGACCCGTCCTTCCCAGGGCAAGACGAGTTTTTAAAACCTTAAACACACAAAAGCCTTGTTTAAGCTCCAAGAGATCTTTGTTTGGTGTAGAAAGCCATCATTAGCTTGATTAAGTTTCAGTTTATGAGATGGCAGTTAGTAATTAAAAACTATGGAAACATAATTTAAAAATTTTTTACATTACAGAACATGATACAAAGAATGCATGGGAGGTCTAGTCATGGCTTATGATTAATAATTATTGTTGAAATGACAGAAACAGAAAGCTTTTGTTTTCTCAAAGCAGTGCTCAAACGTTATTCTTAAATGATGGTTTATGTTCTTACCTCCATGGGGTAGATGCTGCTCTGAGCAATAGCTCCTGCTAGAGACCCAGCAACCAGCCTCTCCAGGATCCCCAGCGTCTCCTGATTACTGCCAATCAGCCGCTTAATCTGAAGGACAGGGCAAATGAGCTTTAGAGGTCACAGATAAAATAGCAAAGAGAAAAAAAATTTTCATTGAAAAAAAGATTTGATCACATAAAAAAGATAATCAAAGCAGCAAAAAAAAGTAACTGTTTATTTAACAGTTATTTAAACACTGTGGGTAAATATATTAACATTGTATCATTTTAAATATCCAGGATTTTATAAGTTATCCAATTTTGTAAGGTCTGTCCAATAATTGCCAAAAGATTACAACAACAAGCTACCTGCTCATACGCCATGAACTTGATAGCAGACTCAGGTGCAATCTTCAAAACATTGATACCGTTCCCTCGCCACAGCGACCGAAGTCCACCCTCACGGATCATTTGGGCGAATCCTCCGGCGATACCCATGGTGTTGCTGCGTGATGCATGAACCTGCCAACACCATTCCTCAGTTTGCTTGCAAATTGTTTCATTTAAGCATTGTAACACAAGTTTACTTCAGGTAAGGTAAGCTTTAAGGTTAGCTAAACTTCAATGTCCTTTATAGTCTTATGAATTCATACACTAAAGATGAAGAACTTTAAAATCCACCAAACCAAACTGAAACTAGCCTCACTAAGGCATTTTGTAATGTGCATGGTCATCCGCCGAGGCACTCATCCAAAGAACAGACCATCATGTCCTATAGTGACTCTACAGTACACCTACTACAGTAGCACTGTGTCCTTCATAAACAGCACACTGGTGACATGGGATCTCACTAACACTTCAGTTCATGTACAGAGTACCACTCCAACTAGGGTTTCAACCTATAGGATGTTAGCTCACCAGCCTAGATGACCTATGGATCATGGTTCTCATGAAACCAATGCTATGCACATTATACACAATAAAGGGACAGTAAAGACATTTATAACGTTACAAAAAATATTCGATTTTAAATAAATGCTATTCTTTTGAACTTTCTATTCAGCATAGAATCCTAAAAAAATGTTGATAATAATAAGAAATGTTTCTTGAGCACCAAATCACCATATTAAAATGATTTCGGAAGGATCATGTGACCGTAATGGCTGCGGAAAATTCAGCTTTGCCATCACGGGAATAAATCACATTTTAAAATATATTCAACTAGAATAAAGTTATTTTAAATAGTGGGTCTCATACCTGCATGAGAACCTTAAGGCGGTCCAGGGGTGCGGTGCAGGTACGGGACACAGCACCTGCTCCACCTCCTGCTACCAGGTGTCGCCACCACATCCCTGTTTTCTTTTCCTCTGCCGTAAACTCATCAGGGACCATCAAACTTTCCCCTACATCAAATATCTGTACAGAGGAAATGACATCATGTGGATTGAGATTACATGCACAAGAGAACATAATGAATGGACAATCAACCCCTCAGACGATCCATCATTAGTACTAGAAAAATTCTTGCGTTTCTGAGCTGCTGTAAACTGACAGAATCTCAAGAGATTACATAAAAAATGCATATGAAAAGGGGCATCTGTCTTGCACTTTTTTGTGGATATTTATAAATTTAGCTCAGTCCTTTTTATATCATCCAGTTTTAATATGACACTCAATTGATCTTCATTGGTTCTGGGTGGCTATATTTAATTTTCTTTTATCATCAAAATATTAATTATGATAATAACGTAACAAAAGAAATCCAGAAATATCAGGCTTTCATTTTTCAAATCAAATTACCTTTCTGTAATATACGTGTAAACAATTATCGAATTATCTGTTCACCTCGGTGCAATGTTAATCCATGAGGTGGACGTCAGAACACTGTTGATCTGATTAACAGGATCAGACTGGATCACAGTGACCCCATTTGTCCCATTCAGGAGTATTTCAAGTGTGAGGAAACAAATTTAACTTAGTAGGGCTTAGTAGGACTAGGACTGAATGACTAAGGTGGCAGCCCATCACCGGTGTGTGGTGAATGTCAGTGATGCAAGTATAGGCAATTTACACAGAATAAAGAGACTATAAAAAGCACCATAACCTCCTAAAAGGAGCAATGAGAGACAGCTGGTGCTAAAACAAAGCTGGAAACTGAACTGTAATGCACATGGCAGGATGGTCTGGTTTGCTTTTACCGTGGAGTGTTTCCAGTAGAGGATGATTTCAGGAATGTTGTCAGCAGGATGAAGCAGGTGGTAATCTCTCCATTCATTCCAGTCAATCGTCATCGTACCGTTTTTATCCATACTGTTAAAATAAAAAGACAAAAAGAGACCAAAACAAAATAATATGTCAGGAACCTCTTTGGCTCTGGGTAGCAGCCTCTTCTTTGAAAAAAGACCAGCTTACAGTTTTTTTTTTTTTTTTTTTTTTTTTATTTAAAACAAAAAATTTATTTGAAATAGCAAACTTTTGTAACATTATAAATGTCTTTTATTTTAATCGATAAGAAACTGCGAAAATTAATGATGTACAGTCAAGCAGCTAGAAAGTAATAATTATTCACATGCAAAAATGTCCCTGGTTTCAGCATTTCAGATATATTCTGACCTTCACATTTAGAATTCTTCTTTATTAATTTTAAGAAAGCTTTCTTTTGTTAAGAGTTTTGTTGTATTTGTCAAAAAATCCTAAAATATATGCATCATTAGCTAGCTTAATATTTCCAAAGCATCACCCACGTGAGTCAAAATAGCTTCTGAGAGAGAGAGAAAAAACCCCCCTCAAAAATGCAAAATGAAAACAGCACAGATGAAAGAGCAGATGAAATGAAAATACAGAGCAAGGCAAACATGCAGGGAGAAGACCACTACTTACTACATTATAGGGGCACATATATGACCCCTCCTTATTCTGATAAGATGAGCAGAAAGAGAGAGTGGGGGTCTGATCACAAGAGTGATAAAGAGCCAGAAAGAGTACGACCAAACACACATACAAACAGACAGAAAATAAAAAAGAACTTTATTATTGTATGTGCTGTGATTAATTTGTACATGGGATTCTGGTTTCTTTTAGGAGCTCGAAAATCTCTTTGATATTGACTGGTCAAAGAAACACACTGAAAAATAAGAACCAGGAGACGTGTTGTATAACACATGCTGTTTTGAGGTGAGGGTTCACAGTCAGATCAACACTATACAGATCAGTCAGGTCTGAATTATTAGCTGGAAAAAAAAGACTAAAGAGAATGAAGGGAGTTAAAACAAATAAAACAATAAAATCAATTACCTCTTGAGGATCTTTTCAGCCTGTTCCTCAGATATATGAACCCCAAGGTCTCTTAGTGACTGCATGATCTCCTGTGAATCTATGCGACCTGCAGATTTAAAAGGAAACATGATTTTAACATCTAAACCAGCGGTTCTCAACCAGGGGGCCTCAGCAAACTTCCAAGTAGGGCTGTGCGATATTGAAGAAAAATGCGATATGCGATACCTTGTTAAAAATGCGATATTCGATATGCGATACGATATTGCTTAAAGTGTGTAAAATCAATTTCAATTATATTTTAAAATATTTAAAAATGAAAATTATGTAACCAAAAATGATTCCGATATCGCACGCCCTTGCCATATGCATATTGCGATATTTACATTTGCGATATTTCGATAATTTCGATATATCGTGCAGCCCTACTTCCAAGGTGGCCTTCATATGACTAAGTGATTTCAAATAAGACATAATCAGCATTAAATTAAGGTAAAATAAGTATTAAAACAAGGCAAAACAACAACAAAAATCAAGATATTTATTATTTCCCCTCAACAAGGATTCCTACAGTCTTGAAAAACCTGGATATATCTGATAGGCTAATTAAAAAAAATGTGATTTCTAAAACTGGAAAAATCATGTAAATTAAAGGGGTCATATGATGCGATTAAAATTTTTCCTTTCTCTTTGAAGTGTTACAAGCTCTTGGTGCACAAAGAAGATCTGTAAAGTTGCAAAGACTAAAGTCTCAAATCCAAAGAGATATTCTTTATAAAAGTTAAGAGTCAACCACGCCTACCTAAAACGGCTCGTTCTAACACGCCCCCACATACCTACGTCACGATCTGGGAAGATTTGCTTAATGCCACCCAAATGTTCACGCAAAGAAAGAAGGCGTAACTTTTATTCTCACTGTAGTATTATTGTTGCCGCTGCAGCCATGTCCTGAAGACGCTGTGTGCTTCGTTGTGAAAGCGAAACTACTTTGTTTGGCCTTCCAAAAGAGGACGATATCCGCTTCGTCATGCCCAGAGCTGATCCGTGCTGGTCGCTGAGGAAATACATAAACTTAGCGCTGTGGATCGCCGGATCGGCTTTCACCGTGGACGAAGAGGAGTCCAGCCATCCGCCGGGACCGCCGTTCTCGATCCCGCCGCCTCAGCTCACGGTAAGCCGGGGCTTTCGCTCATGCTAGGCCGCTGTGT